CAGAGGTGGAGAGGGTTGTGAAGAAGGGAGTCAGGCATCAAGGAGCCATGAGGTGGGAGCCCTGAAACTCCCCCTGAAGAAGCCAGAACGCGCCTGAGTGCCCCAGAACCCAGATGTTTAGACAAGGAGGGACCTTTAGAACCCACCTCTCCCACCACTCCCTCAGCCCCAATTTCACACATAGGGGAATGGGAGGGCCCCAGGGACACAGCATTGCCAAAGGTCGCTCAGTGTGTCCAGGATGAGGTTAGACCCAGGTTCTTAACGTTTCGGTGGATGGGCAGAAGGGAAAGGACATGAGGACAGAAGCTGGTGGCCCCCGGAGGATGTGAGTGCGTGACGGAGGCAGGATGAGGGGAAGATGCAGCAACAGGGAATGCTGGACTCCTGGAAGCTCTCCTTTTTGGGATTGGGGGGGGGGGTAGTGAGGGAGTGGGGAGTGGTTACAGGACATGTGCCCTGGAAGAGACACCTGAGGGAATGGACTTCTCTGGAAACACGTCCCTTGTGGATTGACCCACACAGCCTCCCCCAAATGTTCCCAGAGTCTCCCCACCTGGGTCTGCTGATGCTGCATTCTGCCTAAAATACCTCACCATGGTAGCCTGCTGAGACTGCTCCCTTCCCCCACACAACTCTCCCTGCTCAAGGAGCCCTCTGGATGCCCCCTCCCAATGCTGGTCTCCCTGTATGTGGCCCGAATCACTTTCAACATAGCTTTGAGTTCATGTTTCATGGTGACAGGGGCATGGGCTGGGAACCAGAGAGACCTGGGTTCGAATTCCAGTCCTGCCATGTGTGTGGCCCTGGGAAAGTCACCCACCTTCCCAAGACAGTCTCCTCATCTGCAAAGCAGGGACTGACAGGACGAAAACATGGAAAGGGTATGGCTACACCCTGACCCACTTACACCTCCTTGGACAGGGGCTCCCGGCCCGCTCGGAGGGCAGGTATAGGGCTGTGTCCCAGCACATGCCCCTGGGTGGAGGAGGTAGGTGGCAGCTGTCAATAAAGAGTTTTGAATGAATGAGGGAAGAGGAGGCCTCCTTGGCCAGTTCCAGATAAGAGCTAAGTCAGCGAAGACATAAGGCACGGTGCTCTCCCGCACCAGCTCCTGTTCAATAATTAACCACAGAAAACGCAGCGGCACATCCACTGGGAAGAGAGACTGTCTCTGACACAGGGCTCAAGGGCGGAGGGTCCTCCCTGAGGTCTTCTCATCCAGCCCCCTCCTCTGGGAAGGGCTGCAGCCAAATCTTGATGGGCCTGTACCCCAATGCTGGACAGTAATCCTTCAGTCCCATTGCTCAGCAACACTAGGGGCTGCCTACTGAGTGTTTCAAAAGAATTTTTTTCTCAACATTTTTCTTTCGATGCCAATAGGTACACATCTATAAATGTCCACTTCACAATAGGTTAATTTTTAAAAGTAGCTTATAGAACCTTAAGGGCAGTGTGATCAAAATTTTTAACACGACCCCCTGGCAATGGGCAAGGAGACACCTGATTGGTGGTGTTGCTCTTATATCAATCAGGGGCAAAGCAGATGTACAGTCCTTAGTTCATCCTAGCTTGATGCCTGTGTCGGTGGCCAGAGCTGTTTCATGCCTGAGGCACATAAAAAAAATTTTTAACACGCAGATGTCTTTTATATACTGTACTAGAGGCCCAGTGCATGAATTCGTGCACAGATGGGGTCCAGCTGGCCCACCCCGATTGGAGCCGATTGGGGCCAGGCTGGCATGGGGCAGTGGGGGGGCCGTGGGAGGTCGGCCAGCCGGCCTTGTCCCCGCATTGGGGTGGGGGTGGGGGGGCAATCAGAGGCAGAGCCGGCCATGGGGAGGGATTGCCGCAGGCAGTTGGCTGACCGGCCCTGTCCCCGATTGGGGGGCGGGGGCTCGATTGCGGGGGCCACAGTGCATGTCAAAGCAACCGGTTGTTCTGGTCGTTCTGTCATTCGGTCGCTTGGCTTTTATATATGGAGATACCAAGAGTCAGCGGGAGTTACCTCTTGGTGGAAAAGTTAAGAGTGACTTGGTTTTTGTTTTGCTTTTTGCTTCTCTGCACTTCCTAATATTTTTTAGAATAAACATGGGTATTCTCTTGCCTCTATAACTTGTCTCCTGTGCCCATTTCTTCTACAACTCACTTCTACCTCTATGTAATAAACTTTCTAAATAAACTTTCTCTTATGGTTTGAGTCTTGGCTCTGAATTATTTCTTAGCCAGAACTCAAGTACTGAGGTCCAGTCTAACTCCATCAGTTTAACACCTGGTGCCATTTCACCACCAACACATGCACATAGGGAATTCATATAAGCATGAAAATTCCAAACACATAAAACAAAATGAGGTATAAATGTCATTCAGTGCTAAGGGCGAGGGGGGAGGGGGAGAAGTGATCCACAGGGAGACGAAAAGAGTTACTGTTTAATACATTGAGCCATCTTGAAACAATAGGTCACAAAAAGGACTTTGACCAAAGGGTCTTGCTAGGTTCTTCCCTGTCAATTACACCTAATATTTTAGATATTAAAATACAGTCGTTCATCTATGATGATGGTTCCCCTCCTGGAGGAAGTCTGTTGTCTAAATTCCTTTTAGGCAATAAGGTCAAAAGGTTCTTCCTGAGCCTTCTGGGCTTTTAATGTTTTTAGCTCAAAAGAACCTGCATGCTAGCATAGCACATCTTGGGGAGACTCATCTGTACCCCTACACTTATAATGTAAACAACTTTATCAAGTTTTGAATTAATGTCAATTCAAAAACTGACACAGTGTTCCAGCCGTTAAATATTAAAATTGTGGACCCAGAGAAGAAACATTCATTTGATGTGAACCCTGAGAAGGAATTTATCTGCTGAGATGACTTACCACGGTCAACGGAGGGCCAACATTTTATAAATAAGAGCCTAGCAGGGATTTGCTGACAGGGGCTCCTCACATACAAGAAAGAGAGAGAGAGAGAGAGAGAGAGAGAGAGAGAGAGAGAGAGAGAGAGAGAGAGAAAGGAAGGAAGGAAGGAAGGAAGGAAGGAAGGAAGGAAGGAAAGAAAGGAGGAAAGAAGGAAGGAAGGAAGGAAGGAAGGAAGGAAGGAAGGAGAGAGAGAGGAAGGAAGGAAGGAAGGAAGGAAGGAAGGAAGGAAGGAAAGAAAGAAAGAAAGAAAGAAAGAAAGAAAGAAAGAAAGAAAGAAAGAAGAAAGAAAGAAAGAAAGAAAGAAAGAAAGAAAGAAAGAAAGAAAGAAAGAAAGAAGAGAGAGAGAGAGAAAGAAAGGAAGGAAGGAAGGAAGGAAGGAAGGAAGGAAGGAAGGAAGGAAGGAAGGAAGGAAGGAAGAAGGGTAATCACAATCTAATATAAAATTTAAAACGCATTTCCTTAAAAATACAAATGGGGGAAAACCCACTGTGAACCCTGCCCCCAGCCCCTTACACAATAGCCTTTGCCATCAAGCAGGTGTGAGGGGGTGGCAGCCTCTCCCCAGAGTCCAGCTCACATATCCAACTGCCTATTCAACGTCTCTCTGTGGATGTCTAATGGCCTCTCAAACCAAATGTGTCCAAAAACACACTCTCAATTTGCCCTCAAATCTTGCTTCTCTCCAGTCTCCCCATTTCAATAAAGGCACCACCCAGGGGCTCAGGCTGCAGATCTGAGTTAAGCCTTGATTCTCCTTTTTCTCACCCTCCACATCCTGTCCTTTAGAAATTTCTGTGGGCTCTACCTTCAGAATATGTTCCTGTAGAGGCCACGGCTCACCACCAGCCACCACCTCCTGGCCCCTGACTGGTCTCCCTGCCTCCACGCTGGCCCCATTGTCACCACTCTCTTCCAAGCAGCCAGAGTGATCTTCCTGGGACACAAAGCCAGAAGCCATCATTCTCCTCAAAACTCTCCACTGACCTCCCATGGCACTTCAAGGGCGAAGTCCAGCCCCTCAGCATGTCCAGCAAGGCCCTCTGAGATCCGGCCTGCACCTCCACCTCTTCAATTTGATCTCCCCTTTCAACTCTGGATCCCTGGGCTCCAGCATTCTGCCGTCCTTGTCCTTCCGGGAACACACCGAACGTATTTCCACTTCCAGGCTTTGCACTGACTTAGCTGTTTTCTCTGCTATTTATTGCTCCCTTACTCATCCAGCTCTCTGTTCAAACATCACTTCCTTGGAGTCCCCAACCACCCCCTCTCCAAAATAGCAATCCATCTGTACTCTCTCTCCCTTTGCCCTGCTTTATTTACTTTTCATAGCAGTGTTGAAAGATGGAGTAAATGAATAGCAGAATTGCACGTTAAACAAACATCAGGACACCATGTCACCAAAGCCCCCAGTTTGTACCCACTGAAGAGGTACCCAAAGCTTTTAGCACACCCATCTCTGACGCCCCAGTCTCCCCAGCATCTTCATGAGAAGGGAAGAGAAGGCAGGCCTCTGACCCTGACCAGCTCCACTTGATAGATGCTGTTTCAAAAGCCCCTGCTGGCTGGTTTGGCTCAGTGGATAGAGCCGGTGGACTGAAGGGTCCTGGGTTCGATTCCAGTCAAGGGCACATGCCTGGGTTGTGGGCTCGATTCCCAGTAGGGGCATGCAGAAGGCAGCCGATCAATGATTCTCTCTCATCATTGATGTTCCTGTCTCTCTCTCCCTCTCCCTTCCTCTCTGAAATAAATAAAAATATTAAAAATAAATAAATAAAATATATATGAATAAATAAATAAATAGCCCCTGAACTTCACCTCCCTCTGCCTTTATGCACTGAGTGGGAGGTTCCTCAACCTAGATGCTCAATAGAGCCAAACACATGTATGTGGCCTGAGAGAGAACATTCTGTTTTCCAGGCACCTGCATAACTGTTCCTATCTTCCAGATGAGGAAATGGGGCCCGGGAAAAGGGACACTCTTGCTCAAGATCACACAGTGAATCAGTGACCAAGCTGGGGCCAGAAGCCCAGCTCAGGTTGACCTCCAAGCTGCCTTGGCCTTCTTGGGGGGGCGGTGCTCACACAGACACCCACTCTTTGGACAGCAGAAGAGAGATCAATGTCTGGAGCTTAGGGAGGGAGAGACGAGGGAAGGAGCCCTGAGCTGGGGTGCGACTGTGTCTGCCAGAACCAGAGTGTGACTTCATTCATGCAACAAATAAGGTCTGTAAGGATTGTCTCTGGCCCCGCTTGGGGCCTCAGTCTCTCCATCTATCCAAGTGTAGATGGCACACAGGAGCTGGCTGGCTTGGGCCTCTATAACCGCCCAGCAGAGAGGCCAGACTGGCAGCCACTTTCTGGAGCCTCTTTGCTCATCGTGTCTGGCAATGTGGAGCCCTTGCCCAGCCCAGGAGGCAGAGCTGGGACAGGCTGACTGTCCCTGGCTGGGGCTTATAGTGAGACTGATCGCAGCCCCTCCTCCCTACCCCCAAACCCCCCATTCTGTGACTACCCCAGTCATTCAGGATGGCAGCAAGGAACAGGCGAATGGGTTGCTTAGAACTGTTGTTCTCAAACTGTAGCAGGCGTCAGAATCACCTGGAGGGCTTGTTAAAAGGCTGATGTGTGGGCCCCGCTCCTAGAGTGCCTGCCTCAGTAAGTGTGAAGTGGGGCCTGAGAATCTG